GGCACAGAGACACTGAAATAACTTGGTCAATGAACAAAAACTAGAATTTGAACCCAGATATTCTACTTCACAGGTGCTGATATTAAACACTACCTTTATATAGTCCAATTTTATTTTACTCTGCAGTCTCTTATATCTTACTTAATTTTGAAAAGATTATAAAATTCTAAGAATTTTTAATTGTATGAAATAGATGCTTTTATTCTTCTCTGCCAGACTTTTCTGTTTTAGCACTTAGGAAGCCGCTTCTGCCGGCATTCTTGATTTAAAGTCTTGCTGTTACACTTCTCTTAGGAATATGTTTTCCCAGTGTCTTTCAGAGGTTATTGCAGGCAGTTTCCAGCAAAGCGTTTTTCCCTGCATGTTCTCACTAATGTTTTAGCTTTCTTCTCTCCACGAACTGCCTGGTGTTCGTTTTTTGTTTTGGTGCACATAGTGCACAGGGTTAATTTACACCGTGTCACAATAGCATTGCTTTGTTGCTAGCTATTTCTAAGCCAGGAGTCAGACAATTTATGTTTTCACAGGGAGCAAAATAAGATGAAGATGACATGCTAGTAATAATAATGGTATCACAAATTACATAAAAATATATGGCTTACAAATTTCTTTCTTACGTAACTATTTAGCAGTAGAGTTGATGAATGGAAAACATAGATTTTGTAGCTATTCACAAAATGGGTTCAAAATCCAACTCTGCTACTTAATAAATTTGTGACCAGTGGCCACTTACATAATTTTCTAAAACTTCTTATCCCTGTTGTGAAATGGAACGAATACTACCTGTTTCACATAGTTGATTTAAGGATGAAATTACTTAATATGTGTAAAATTCTTAGTATGTAACACTTACCACTTAAAACATGGTTGATAATGATAAGAAGTAATGGCCAACTAAATTTTTTTTGCGCAAAAAATATGAAAAAATTTTAATATAAAAAGCATTTTGAAATTAAAGGAGAGCTGTACAAAGGAAGGGGGGGAATTGTGGAAGGCAAGGGAGCAGCAGAGTCACTTGTAGGAGGAGAGAGGGGAAGAGATGTGGGAGATGTAAGTTACACACTCATCTTCTGAAAACAAAGTCTTAGATTCCTCTCAGAGTAGAATATCAAAAGAGATAAAGGAAGCAGTGGACAGAGAAAACCTTGACAGTTTGGTTCTAAGGTGAGTGTGTTTATCAGATTAAATTTCCTTCTGCATATCCTGCTGTTTACTTGGACAGTGATGTCTGAGCAAGTTATTATTTATTATTTCTATCCCTTGACATTCTGATTAGCTCATCAGCAATCAGTCACTATTCATAGCTCTTCAATTGCTTTTATTAAATAGCAGCCCTCTCCTCCCCCAGTCTGCAAATTATTCAGGTTTGTGAAAGAGTAATATCTCTTCAGAGAGTGCATGCCCTGGGCCAGATGAATTGTAGTCATGCTTCTGTAAGACTCAGAATGAATCACAGAATCTTAAGACAAACTTTAGGCATGGTATGGTTTCTAGGGAACTTGAGGATATGTTAGCCACCTTTGGGTTCATGCAGGCTTTGATTATTTTGTAGGGAAGCATTCAAGAATTGGGTAAATTGTGTACAGTAACATCCCAGAAAATTTTGTAGATGTTTTCTTAGCTTGTTTTGTGTAAACACAGAATGCATAATGTTCTTTGCTTTTGTGTTTGTGAATTAGAACAAAACACAGACCCAGGTGTAACTGTAGAATAAATTATCATGAACCTGGTGAACACAGTAGCGTTCTCTCTCTTCCTTTTAAGATTTCTGAAGATGGTCCGTTATCTTTGGAGTCAGTCCAAGAACCAGTCTATACAGGTTGACATTTCTTTACACATTAGATTTGATCTTGAGAAGTTGTGTACAGGATAAATATTTTAAAAACTGAGTCATACTTTCCCATTCTAAGGAAATTGGTTCTCACAGAAAAAAAGTACACTGGTCCTTTTCTCATGAAAATAAAGCTATACTAGTCTTCAGTGAATACTCTCCACTTGTTAGTGTACAGATTACAATAATTTTCTATTTAAGAAGTTAGTCGAGTGCACCCATGATGTTCAGCACACAATTAAAAACAAATAATTATTTCCATATTATTGAGATTTCTCTCACAACATATGAGAGTTGAATATTTAAGCAGTTACATTATCCATGCCTTTGTGCCTTACATTTAATAGCATTGCCTGGTGAGTAGAGCCATAAAAAGTTATCCTTTTATTTAGGTTTATTGGGGTTCAATCTTCTGTGTCAAAGTTGGACTTTGTATGAATCAGTGAGAACTTTTAAAAAATGAATGTGCTCAAAGCAGTATCTGTGAGATACTTTAAAACTATTTTACCAGGTCTTATTTTTAACAATTGAGACACCAGTCAGATTTGTATTTGGAATTGTGTAAAAGCCAACTATACTGTCCTTATACGAGACCTGGAAAGTATGACAGTGATACATTAGTTCACCAGCCAAGGGCGTGCAGTGACGTTAAACTTTACACTGCGTTAATCAGGTTCTGAAGTCAAGAATGCAAGAAAAAAACTCCATAGACTTAAATTTATCCTACTTAATCCTTTAAATCACCCGGAAAGTACAATATGTGTAGTTTTGTATATAAAACTCTAAACAATAATTCTTATGTACAACATAGACTTCAGATCTGCTACACTAGAAAAAAGGAAGGAAGGAAAGAGTAGCTATCTGGGTACTCAATCCTTTCTTTGTTTATGGTTAACTACCCAGTTCACAAACTAGGGAGCCCAAGACAGTGTCTGCTTGTCTGCAGGACTTACTCCATTTCTTCTCAAGGTTAAGCTTCTATAATTGTCAAACACTTCAATAGATTCATTTGGTTGTTTAAGGACTATAATTTTCTCTAGATTTGAAAGTACATAATTTCAGTTATTAAATAAATCAACCATTTTTGAATCAGCTCATTCATATGATTGGGTGTTTAGTAGATAAAGCTAGTATATTAAGCTTATGTAGTTTGAAAACCGTACCAATTAAGTAGCTTTTTTTGTTGGGGTGCTAGAGCCTTTGATTTCTACTTCCTGTGACCACTGAAATAATGGCCTGAGGTTTGTTTATTCTTAATAATCTGGGTTTTGGTTATACTCTTTTTTCATTTTAGGAGGGAAATTGGTATTTCTCATATTTTAAATTCAAAATTTTACTAAAAATCTAGTTTGAAAAGTAAATATACAGTTATCTTTGATGTATTAAGGTGGGAAGCACTTTCAGCATTAACTTTGCTGTGCCCCTCTAAGTGTTTCTCTTTTCATTTGTCATTACTTTCTCATTCATGAAGTATTTTCTTTATTTGTAATATATATGCTTGGTCCTACCCATTTTGCTTTTTCTTGGATTGTGTACCATTAATCATGCTCCTTTTATTTATCCTTGGTCTCTTTCTCTGCCCTTACATCTTTCCCAGAGCTTATGTACCAAACCTAAGTTTTCCTGTACAAAAATGGCAAGCCTTTTCTCCACCTTCACCTCCACAGCCTATCATTTGATCTCTGCCTCTTCATTCTGCCGGTGTTCTTAAAAGACTAACTGACTGCAGCATCCGCATCTTGACTTTTTGCAATCTGGCTTCTACTCTTATCACTTCACTGGGACTCCTCTCTCAAAGGGTCACCAGTGACATCTTACTTTTCAAATCTAGCACTCTTTTCTCAGTTCTCATCTTCTTTGAACTTTTTGCAGTAAGCTAGGTTGTTAATCACAGTCCCTTTCTTGACATGTCTCTTCCATTGGTGTGGGTGACACTTCAGATTCAGTTGTCCAGCCTCTCCGACTGCCTCTCTTTTTTTTCATATGCAAGTGTGTTTACTGCTTGTTCTTCGCCCTTACCATCCCTCCTACTTTTTGTGCATTCTTTCTTACTGCATTTCAGGTCTAGCAGCTAGAACGAATCTATGGGGTAAGTCTTAGGGGACTCTGTGGCTCTGCTAAATGCAGAAGGAACTTAACTGAGAGAGATGGAGGAAGGGAGAATAGGATGGAGAGCCAATGTTGGCAGAAAAATGGTACCCACATATAAAAATCTGAAAGGCAAGGATAGAAAATTGAAAAGTAAGCAATAAGATTAGCAATTTGAATGGAGAGAAGCCAGATAAATGGGTCAGCAAGATGACTGTGTATGGTCCAGGTCACCTTGTACAAAAGGGCCTCTGTTGTACTACCTGGGAATACGTTATCTTTAAGGAATTACACTGGGACTTTGGCTTCAGTAGCTGTTTCTATGGAGAAGAACTTCAAATCTTCCTCTGAAGCCCCATAGTATTCTCTTATAAAACAGAATTCTGTTCCCACCTTCTTCTGTGGTTTCACCTGGATGTCTAGCTGGTACCCTAAATGTAACATATCCCAAATTAAATTCATCATTTTTCTCCTGGAGCTAATCACTGTTCTGGGCTTCCTAATATATCCCTACCCTACGTACAAAACTTCAAAGCCATCTTTGATTCTCCTTTAGCCCTCTACCCAGCAATTTCAAAAAGTACTGTCAGTGTTATCTCCTTGCTGTCTTGTAACTGGTGCCGTGTTGTCTTTCCTCTAGCTTCAAACCGACTGCTACCCTACATTCTTGTGATAGCTCCTATGTAGTATCTCTTAACACTAATCCTATTCACTGCTGCAAGTTTGGTGTTTCCAACTTCAGCTATACATCTACTTAATGTAACATTCCTAGCCAGAGATTATTGTCTCCCTTTCAGTGTTCTTGTAGCACTTATGTTTTCTATCATTGTGTGTGTGTTGTTTATATGATTTAATAATATACATTTCTGTATATAAATTACCAATCTTCACAGACTGTAAGCTCCTTGCTGGGCAGGAACTGTGTCTTGTTTACCTGGCATGCTGCAAACACTTGTGGACTGGAAGTTAGCAGCTAGTTAGCCTGGCAGTAATCTGATCCCAATTAATAGTACATGACCTGTGATAGAATTTTGATTTGACATTAATTTCATTTTTTGTGCATTTGTTTTATTCTGAAAAGCATTTTTATTAAGCTGTGCTGATGTCATAAATGGAACAGTTAACTGGAAGACCAAACAGGCCAACAGTTTTATTATCAGCAGAAAAATGGCTGCTGGGAAGAAAGATGGTGAGTTTAGGATATCAATGTGAATCCCCTTTTGGGAGTCAATTAAATGTTCCCTTCCAATAGTCCTTTTGCTTTTTTTTCTTTTTTGGTCTTGTGTGTGTGTGTGTGTGTGTGTGTGTGTGTGTGTGTGTGCGTGCGTGTGTTTTAATAAGTCAGTCTGAACAAGTAAAATTTTGTGTTCTTAATCTTCTAAAACTTCTGATCCTGTGTTCTTAATTCATCATTTTCCTTTGCTATAGTTTTGCCCTTTTTTTTAAACTAAAAAATCATATGTGTTTTTAACCTATGTTGCCCCTTATCCAGTCACTAGCTTACCACTTATAAAAATTGTTCCATTGTGGTTATTATAATAATTTATTTGTAACATTAAAAACATTAAAAATACAATTAACACATTCAATTTTAAAATAGCTTTATGAAAACTTAGAAAATGATCATAAGATATTTTGTGCACTTTTGAATGATTTTGGTTTGCAAAACCAAATTGATGTTTGGCTACAAGTTGGCACTTGTTTTCTGTTGAATGATGTCATGACCCTTGAATGATAGGTTGACCTTTCTAAATCTTTCTTCACTATTTATGTGTGCCCATCAGCAATATTCCATGACCCGTGAAATGGCACATTTAATAATCAAATTATTAGTTGTTTTTAAAATGTCAGTTACCATTATGAACTATAACTTAGTATTTCTTGATTTTTTTTAACTTTATGCTCCTCCCCTTTCTCTCAATTACTGGCTATATGTGGTCATGAGCTAAATAGTAGCCTGGTTTCTATTTTGGAATAACCAAAGTGTCTATAAAATATTTTCTAATATTGATAAAAATATTTTTGTCTTATGTGATAAGATGGCCTTATTAGATAGAACCAACTTAGTGCTTGCTTATGTTATTTTCTTCATGCATCTCTGAAGTTATGATCACTAACTTTTTTATAGTTGGTATCAAATTATTCTTCAGTTGGAATCTTCTACCTCCAGCTCTGTTTTACAGTCAGTGGGACTCTATCTCTTCTTTCCTGTTGTCTTTGAAACAAACATACATACCTCTGTGGACTTTTAAGAATTTTTTCATTGCTAAAATCTATAGTAAGATGTTGTTTTACAAGAATAAATTCCTATGAAAATCCATAAACATTTGTTTTAAAAAGCACTGCATGCACTAGTTCCAGAACCTAAACCTATGGCCTCATGGTTCTGTTCTTCACACTGTCTTTAGATTTATCCAGTGGATTCTTCCTAGTTCCTTCAAAGGAATCACTCCTAATTTCCCTTATCAGACTGGTTCATTGACTATGGTGAAACTCTTCAGCCTCGTTGGCACATCCATTTTTTCTGTTTTCTAGTGTTGCATTTTCTTCTATCTCTTGTCTTTAACTTTGATTCTTAGAACTTCTGTCCTCTCTGAGCATACCCTTCCTGTGCCTGTTTGATTTGCCAAAAAAGTATTGTTTAACCAACTCAGTCATCCATTTTGGTGCTGCTCTTAGTGAAATTAATTCCGAGCCTTTATGTAGCATCCTTTAGAATCAAAAGAGGTGCCTCTTCCTATGTCAAACTTAATGCTCCCATTGGCCCTCGCTGATTTTCTTCTTGGGATTTGAGAAGTAACTAGCAATTCCAAAAAACAGAAATAAAGAACCCTTCTCAAATCTATTGGAGTAACCAGTTCAGATTGTCACGTTTTCTTATTCCTTGGTTTCTCCTGGTCTCATCATTTAGACTCTTCTTTCCTGATCTCCCAATCGTTTTTACTTGAAGAAAATTGTTTTATCACTTTAGAAATTATAACACAAATACTAGTAGCTTGTATAGACCTATTAAAGTACCATCTCAGATATTAAGTGTTCTTTATGATATTCTTGTGTCTTCTTGGCAATTTCATGGAAGCACAAAAGATTGTAAGAGCATTAATACAGGAAAGTTAATTTAGCAGTATAACTTTCTTTTTAAATAATATTCTAATCCTTAACTAAAGCAATGGGGTAGTACTTCTTCTGTAAATAGGATTCTGAGGAGTTTGCTTCTCACCAAAACATTTGACAGCATTCTACTTTGACACACATGAAATGGTTACAAAAATCGTAAAAAGCACTCTTTGGGTTCTCTTCTTTTTTTCCCTGGGGTGGAGGTAGAAAACTTAACATTTTAAATGTGCCATTAGAGTAATTTAAGTAAAAAGAAATAAGCCTTTATGTATGTACAACTCAATTAAATGTCTTCAGATTCTCCTCTCCTCCTTAGGAACACATTCTAAAATGGTTTACTGATCATTTTCACTAAGTTTTTCTTAAGAAACCAAGACAAAGTCAAAATAATTTTGTCCAGATTCCCTAATCATTTTCAACTTAAGTGTTAAACTTTAACTGAATATTCATGGTAATAAAGTAGTAGTACATGCTTTAGATAACTTGATTTGCCATCTTAAAGGAGACTGCTCCTTGGTTTACTGAGGATAAAGGAATGTATGACTTTATAACAGGAGATCTCTCTAGATCACTCCTTTCCCCCTTGGTCAGCAAGAAATAGAAGGTGTCCTCAGGGCTGAAAATATTTCTTTACCTCTGAAGGGTGGCAAAGTAAGAAGAAGGAGTCCATAATTTCAGGACTTTAAAAGACCATGTACAAGAGATGTGAGGTGTTCTTCCTAAGCTCTGGCTATGAGGACTGAAATATCTGCTCTTCTAGCCTTCTGGTGTGCTTGTTCCTGTAGACTTGAATTTGTTTGAAATTGTGATTTTTTTTAACTCACACATTTCCATTTGTGCAGTGTAATTAAGATAACTTTATGAAATAATAAAATAAGCTTCAAAATCTGGCTTTTCATAAACCAAGAAGAGATAATTAAGAAAATTAAAGTGTTATGCAACACAACAAGCTTACTATAGTGGGATATAATAGTAGAATGTAGACTCATCAAATGTATTACCCTGGATGTTCAGATCACTGGACAAATGACTACCCTGGTTTGAGTCCTCACTTTTCCTCTTTCAAGTTCTGTGGGTTTGAACCAGTCACTTAGTTCCTCTGGGATCATTTTTGTACAGTGAAATGGAGGAACAGATCCTCCCTGAATGTATGTACAAACCAACTGATTGGTAGTGAGGATCAGGAATTCTGAGCTGAGCAGGAAGTTAGGGCCATGTCTGGGTAGGAAGTAATGTTCTGGTCTGTTTTTTAATAAAAACATTTGCATGCCTAGACAGGATGACATCTGACACCCTTTTCAACTTTTCATTTCAGCGTACTGTGAGACCAGTATTCTATTGATCAATTGACAAATGATTTGTAGTCCCATTCATATTGACATTTAAGAAAAACAGAGAAAAATACATTTAATAATATAATGCTCAGGATATTTAATTTGTTTGGAAAAATTAAAATAAGTGACTTTGGTTGGGAGAAGAAAGCATGAAAATCTTGTTGTAGAAAAAGATCCAAGCAATAGTTTCTCTTCTATAAACAGAAGTGGCCGTGTCTCTTAGAGAAAGAGGCAATCTAATGCTGTCCTTGGGATGAATTCCACAGCTTAGGCATGGACTATCTGTGGCTAAAACAAAAACAATAGCTGCCCACCCCGAAATGAATGGCCCGGCAGTACTTTGATGTTAAATAAACTCAAAGGTGAAAGACAGACTGCTGAGAAAAGCTGTTGATTCAAAGCCAATATTTATAAAGTTGGATTGATAAAAGACAAGGTAAATCTTAGTAAGAGAAAACAAAAACAGATTGTGTATCTGGCTAGATAGTAAGGCCTCTGAAAATATTTTTTCTACAGCAGTTATCTTGTTTAATAATTAAATTTCAATTTGACTATAGTAATAACATGTTCAAAATAAATTAAGAAGGAATCCATAAATATATAAAGCTCTGAAAACCCTGAAATGAGTTCGCTTGAGGCAGCGACAGCAAAAGGAATTCATGTAATCAGTTCCAATGAATTGTAGCGGCTTCTTGGTGTGCTGTGTATGCAGGGGCTCCGAGTCTCAGAGAAAGACTGGTAAAACTGCAAGATAAAAAACACGAAGTTTCATTTTCCTGTCAGTACTGAAAGTATAATTGTCAGGATGATCATGCCCTGTTGCTTGGGTAAAAATCATTTTAAAAGCTGTAATGAATAGGTGGCTATTCAGGCTCTTTAAGCATATTTAAAAATCCTCCTCATCATTCTTACCCATAATTTTTTTCCAGGTAATACTTAACCATTAAGGGAAATGCTATGAACAGTTGAGAAATATATACTACCTTATTTAAGTAATTTGGACTCAAAGCACCTGTGTGCTGCTTGCCAGTGGATAACATCTTAAAACTGAACACGAGAGGCAAATTGACAACATACATCCAAAGCCCAGAAATATGGTGAATAATCTAAATGAAGCTCTTTTGAATTTATCTTACTTAATCTAGAGTTAGAAACACCTCAAAGTGCAGTATTGACTTTTATTGAAATGCTTTTAGAAATAGACTTTACTTTTTTATTAGTAAGTTACTTTTAGACTGATTTAGCTACTGTTAAGGGTATTATATCATTTAATCCATAGAGCTGTTTATATTATGCAGTCTGTTTCCCACATATCAAACATGTACAAAATTATTTTATACAATACTTTACATCCATTTTGACTTATAGCTCATGTTTACATAGCATATGGGTTGAATTAAGACTTCTAATTGTACACTTACTTATTTCTGAATGTGTTTAATACGTGGAGTTTATGCTGCTATTGCTTCAAGTAACAGCTCTATCCCTATTATCATGAGATCATCTATTTACAAGTGTACTGCGTCAACTAAGAATCATAAAATACCACAAAAGGGTCTTTGAGCAGCCAGAGAGATGCTGCAAATGTAGGCTTCTGTGTTTTTTACATCTAGCAGAGCACCACATGTGTTAAAACTGCACCTATTTGCTCCTAATTTAAGGCGCAATCCCGCCTCATTTAGTAGTCTGGCTTCTAAACCTGCAGCAGATTAATAACAGCAAATTAGAGGGGATAGAGAAGCCGCTATAGGAATCATACTGATAGCAATGAGAAATGACAGCTGACAACTTGTCTACAGACGAGAAAACAGAAAATCTATAAAACATACAACCTTAAAAAGCATTAGCAGGCAGGGACCCGCTAGTGTGATCGGTAAATGACAAGGCAACCAAACAGTCCATGAGGGCGTTGCTGTGTAATGGAGCGGAGTGCAGTAATTGATGTGCAAAATGATGATCTTACACCATCGTGAAAAAGGATCGACCCCTGAGTGCCTCAGAAAAATCCACTGTCTAGAGTGATTCGTTCCATGGGGTTCCTGGTAAACTGAGATTTTCTTCTACCTTTGTAAACATTAAAAATTAGATGATATAAATGGGTCTTTTATAGTGATTAATTTGTTGATAAAGCATGTCTAAGAGAGACATATACATAATTGGTATCTAATAACGGCCTCCTGGACTTGAATCTTGACAACAGTTTATAACTTTCTTTTCAAAGATTTCAAAAGAGAGAGAGCTTTAAGATTTAAGTCTAGCTTGAACTTTGAGGTCTCACACTGAGTGTCCATTTTATCTTTACAGCCGTGTGCTTGCTCTTGATGACGCAGACACAGATCTGGTAATTATTCTCTGGACTTTTTGTAGAGAAGGGACTGCGTGCATGTGTGCTCACGTGCACATGTCATTTAGAATAATCTTTGTGATAATTGTGAAGTTACATGTCAAAGATTCATTAGCAATGCACCACCATAATACTTCAATAATTTAATGTTTACTAAATACATCCAAATTTGCTTTTGTTTTTAGGGAATTGTAAGTAAGCACACAAATGCATACCATTATATTTTCATCATGAAGAGAGAAGCTTTCCAACGGACTCTTAGTAAAGGAAAATAGGACGCAATCTAGCTAGCATGAGGTCTCACTTTATTGCTACTGCTATCACGATCTGTTATTTGATTCTTGGTTCTGTGCTGTCACATAATATGTAGTTGTTGAAATGGTCTGTAGTTTCTAAACCCTATGTCTAAAACATACAGAGAATAGTCCTGTGGACAGGATTTTGGTAGCACAGTAATGAGAGACATTGGCGCTTAGGAAGGGTGAAATAATAAACCTGGTTATTTACCTACATAGCTTTCTGGCTCTTCTCTACTCAGATACATAATTTGTCCTTTTAAAAAATTCTATTACTTATGACATCTTGTTTTCAGAAGTTTTTAATCTTTGCAAATCTAGCTGCCTTTGCTATTTGAAGACAATATTTTTTAATCCCCTGTGGGTTGAACTTTTGCCTTAATTGTTTTGCCCATTAATGTTGATAGATTTGCACGGGACTTAGGCACACACTGGTTTCCAGTTTCATTTGTATCCAGTGGCATGTGTTTGCAGAGGTAATGGATTTGCAGCCGTAGAAGATTGCAGAACCATGCAGTACACAGAGAGACCAAATCCTGTGACCTCAGCTTGATTAGCATGGTACTGTACACATGTATATTGCAAAGATTATTAGATTTAAGTGTTGTGGCATTTTAGGGTATTTACATTTGATATTTAAGACTTGCTCTTAAGAAAACAATATGTATTAAGCTTATGGCTTGTGGGTACCAGCAAGGCATGAGTGAGTACAATGCATATTAACTCTTAGTGACAACCTCTGTGGGTGTTGTTGCAAACCCTATCAGCATTATTGATATAACTCATGTTTAGAACAAGAACCTACAGCTTCAGATGCTCTGTGTCATTTTTGTTTTTGAAAGAAAACATAGGTGTAAATACTACCCAAATGGCCTCTGTTGAAGAGCTATTTGTTTTGGAAGTAACAAATAGGAAAGGGAAAAGGAACGAGCTCTTCTCTAAAATGTTGTGTGGATGCCCAAAATTTAAACTGATGCTACAGAAAGGAAGTATTATTTTCACAAACAAAACATAGTGGCGTAGTCATTTTCCATTTCTGGATGATGAATATGTCATACATCTGTATCATGTTTTTCTCAAAGTGAATGGCATACTATACTTAAAATGAAGCAGGATTTACTGTGGAGTTGCCAAGGTAACTGACCAGCTAGTATGCAGTTCTGCAGATTGCAGAAAGGCAATTGAGTACACATGAATAAAGAAATGTGCATGTCATCTTAAAACCCAGGAGAGCCATGGTGGATTGTGGCTTGACTGTGTACATGGTGTAGATATTATTTTTATGAAGGCAGAATCTAAGATGCTCTATGATAGTCCTTGAAGGGAGGTGATATGGAATGACAGGTACTCTTTAATGGTTTTACATTAGGCCCTGTGGAGGGCTGTATGGAAAACAGAATCCTTTCAGTATTATTTAATATAAACATCCTTTCTTTTGGCTTTGTAAGCTAGTTCTTACCACTTTATACTAGCAAAAACCAAGGGGGGCTGTTAATAGTTTATGATATAAATGGAGGATGCTAATATGTAAAGCATTACACCTTAAATTAAGTATCATATATTTCGTCCTGGCATGAGACCTGTGTGTACCTTCACAGGGCTTTGTATTAGAATGTCTTCATTCATTCCATAGGGATTGATAAACTTATTCAAATATGCCAGACATTCTTCTAGGTGCTGAAAAATGACATGGTAAATAAAACTCAGTACTGTACTTCAAGATGTTTTCAATCTCTAGGAAGAATAAGATAAATTCAAAAGAGATTCATTTAGATTATGCACAATATTCCTATGATTTGGATATAGGGCTGTTATCTGGAATTAGAACACCTTTAGAGTAAAATAAATTCTCAGAAAGAGTTTGAAACTCTCTATAATTTGACTCCTCTTTTCTTCCCAGTTTTGCTCCCTTCTAAAATAAGCCCCAGGCTCTAGCATCATGGGTTAATTCACTTCCTCGACAGGCTCCATAGTTCACTTCCCACTATTGTATCTTGTATATGTCTTCATTGCTGAGTGCCTGAATTCTCCATCTCTGGGTTCTAGAAACCCCATGGTTTTATAAGAGCCATATTGAATTTTCCTTTTGTAAACCTTTCCCAAGATCTTTCCAACTGTACTTGCTTTTCCCATTCTTCCAGGTATTGCCAGAGCAATTTGTCCTTCTGGGGCATCACCTACTTAGGTGGATGTTGGTCTCCCAAATGGGATGGTGAACTCATGGAAAGCAGGGACTGGTGTCTCTTTGGTCTTCACATTCCCCACCACCTAATACTTAGGACACATTGTGGTATTGCACTGGTTAAAAAAAATCAAATTCTCATCCTTATTCTTTTTCAATGATTCAGTCATTATTATTTGGAACAGGATCATTCCCACAGGTGAGTAAATAGTCCTTGGGTGGAAGTGGGGTACTATAAAGATTACTTAAGAATACGAGTACCAAATAAACCAGGAAAGAGTTCCTTCATATCTCATTAAATTACTTAAACCTATGTTGCAGCTTCCTTTTTTTCAGTTACAAGTTATGGATGTGTGAGCTAAAAGCCAAATATTTTAGTTCAGTTTGCCTTTTTTTGGCAGCCATCCATAGAAATGCAGGGATAAGTTTTCACAGATAGAGAAATATTTTGTGGGCATTCCTATTTTATTCTGAAAAATTTACTGTCAGTGATCTTGCCATGTGGGGCTTTTAATAAGTTGTGAGCTTTGTGTGAACTGCCTTTGGGGTTCCTAAGGTTAATTTCCACATCTACAAATCCATCAGTGACTAAGAGAAAGATCTAGCTTGATAGGGTTTATCTGTCTAAAAATTGCAGCTACTAGCCAATCAGGACGACAGAAACTCCAAAGAGATTGTAGAGGTGATGAGGGTAATGGCAATAATGTGTTGTAGAGATGATATCAGAAGAAAAACAATAGGTGGAAGCCAATCAAACCAATTTGGTGATTTTAATGCACTCACATCTTATGTCTTAAGCAACAGTGAATCATGAAATTGGCCCCCTCTCACTTAAAAAAGTTAATTGCGCTGGATTATATTATGTAATTATTGTTGCTTATTTAGGATGTAATATAATATAACAGATTATACTATTTGAATTATTAAATGTCAAGATCAGAGGGAAGTGGAATGAATTAATAATTTCTAGAAGACATATGAGGAATGAACACTCAGAAAAAGCACCTAATGCATTGTATAAGCATATTTGAGTTGCTTTCTGTATTTTTATTGTGTTATATAGTCTGACTTACTTTTTTTGGAAAACAATCAGTACATCATAGATTCTAATTTAAAAATTATTTTAAGGGCTAGATACATGGCCAAGTGGTAGAGCACCTGTCTCACAATTGCGAGGCTTCTAATTCAAACCCCAGTTGTATGTATGTGTACTTAAATTCAAAGGAAAGAGAAAAAAACAAGCTGTAGTAATTATGTAATTGTCAGATCTCATAATATATTATGCTGGCAATAATTTCAAGTAAAAATAAATTACCAAAATGGTTTTACAGATGTCATCATTATTTAATAACATTTGAGAATTTAACTGTGTCTAATTTTATTCACATAGTATTTGGAAGGGTTCTAAACACAAGTCAGAGTTTCCCATGTTTTGTTCTAAAATCATTTCCCTTTCAAACATGACTGTTATTAACAGTTCTCTTGTGTGTTCCTTAGTTTTCTCAGAAATTTCTATGTGGTAAAACCCTTCTTTACAGTTGGAGCTGAATTCTCAAGGGCTTATCTCATTATTTGTCTGTATCTTATCTTCCCCTTTGTTTTCAGTGTACACTATTTTCTCAAAGGTGCACTCTGATCGGAATGTATACCCATCTGCAGGCGTCCTTTTTGTTCATGTTTTGGAAAGAGAGTATTTTAAGGGGGAATTTCCACCTTACCCAAAACCAGGTAGGTTCTTTGTGGGGGAAAAGTGGTTAATTTACTAAATATTTCTTTTTGTTCAGTGTGCATAATCTGAGTACATGATTAAATATCTTCAACATTATTTGAAATGGTCTGGATATATGACAAATTGGTTGTTGTAGGATACTTCTCATTTTCAGATTAGAAATTTAATTAGAGAAGGAAATAATTCATTTTTGGATTTTAAAGAAAGCATATTTTTCTGGATTCTTACTCTTGAGTTTTATGCCTCTGACAAATGATCCACCTATATTCATATAGAAATAATTATAGCTGCACAATTATGATTTTCCATCCTAAGATTTAGATTCTTACATAGTACATTGATTTTTAGAAAACTATACATGTTATGGAAGAGAACGAAATATGGTATTGAGTAAGAGTTCTTAAAAAGCTTTTACAATAAGAGATAATTTTATAAAACTTCACAATAATGTAATGGAGATTAATTTTTCCTTCAAAGTAATACCAATTATGAATTCTTACTTAATTCACTGTTGGTTTAAATATGTTACTTTGACTGATCACAAATGCTATCACATTAACGAAGATGTGGAAAGAATAGCAGGGGAAAACATTAAGTTGTAACTTAAGTAACAAATGAAAATGACTTCTGAAAATTGTATTTTGTAAGATCACATTTTTAACACTGAAATTAATATAAATGTTCTTTTTGTGGATTATATGATGAATGGCATATCTGAAAACATCCATAAAATAAACGTAGACACATTCTTAATAGTTTTTGGGGAAAAAGGTAGTCTTTTCATCAATTATTTTTAAACTGCCTTCTGATGAGATATTCTATGTTTGCAAAACTATATGGCTGAACCTTTTGAGCAGCAGTTCTAATATTTGAGAAGAAAACATGTCAGTTGCAACATTGTTTCTGGAGTCATCCAGGAATAAATTCTAGTTTCATCATCTAACATGACCATGGGGAAGTTAATATGGGAAATTACACATTCCATTAATAAAATTCATAGGTATGTTTGAAAATCAGATGAGACAGTGCCTGTAGAACACTTAACCAGTAAGTCATATTATTCGTGCTTACTATCAGGAAATGTTATTATTACAGTTGTGTTGTATTTGTAATATCTTTTTCATCCTATCTGCCAGTGTTTTTAAACTATATTATTTTTGTTTTGATGATACCTTTATACCTTTTGGATATCCCATGAGATTAGTTTGATAGTATCCAAAGCGTCACGAGAGGAATACATCTCAAAAGCATGAAGTCATTAATATGATTAGTGGGGATTGGGAGTTTTTCTGGAAGTCACTTATCTGCCTCTGGTGGAACTGTCCTATACTTATGTGCTCCCCCCAAAAAATCCAACAAAACTGTATAAATCTGCTTTCTTGGTTTCATCAGATTTTTAGACAAATTAAACAACCAAAGAAAAATTTCACTACTTAGGGCCCTACTCTAAATTCCCAGGTGGATCTTTTTGTTTATGTGTTTAGTTTGCTACAAATCTAACAGAAAAAAAATTTTAGACAGAATGTTTCGATTGAAACTACCAAAACAACATGCATGAAAATAACTGTTCCATCTTAATTCTCTGTCTTATCTAGGCGAGATTAGTAATGATCCCATAACATTTAATACAAACTTAATGGGTTACCCAGACCGACCTGGATGGCTTCGATATATACAAAGGACACCGTATAGTGATGGAGTCCTGTATGGGTCTCCAACAACTGAAAATGTGGGGAAACCAACTATCATTGAGGTAACAAGAACAAAATTATGTGTACTTTTATAACTTGAGCTTTAAATTTTGAAATTAAGGTCACCAGGCAGTGATTTTTAATATTTTTTGCACAGAAACATGCTAGTTAACATTTGTAAATATAACAGGCATTCATTTCTGTTCGTCTGTAAAGTTTGTTGTTTCAACCTTCATGTTAAAAATGATAGCTTAATTTAGTGAAAAATTAAGTGACATTTAAAAGAAATAGATCACCATAATATAAATTCTATTGAAGAATAGTAATATAAATTCAAAATACTTTCTTGCTCTGTATTTTGAATTCAGATTTCATGTTCATTGAAATACAGTCATCCATCAGACATCTTAAGTGCCAAATGTGACAGGTGTTTAGGGTTAGAAAGATGAGTTGCAGGTGAGTTCTGCCATGTCCATGGGTTGGAGCAATAGAAACACATACTCGGCCAGCATTTTCATAACTGCTACTGTAGGAAGGTGCTGAGGAAGACAGTACACAAAGTAGAAGGGAAGCTTTCTTGGACAAAGAAAATGGCACATCAAAATCTTGGATATAGGAGCTGGGGATGTAGTTCAATGATGGAGAACTTGCAGAGCATATGCAAGGGCCTAGGTTCAAGTCCCAGCACTGTTAAAAAAATTTTTTTGGTGGTATAAAAGTTACATGGTTTCAGAGAACTGTACGTGTGGCTCTTAGAGGAGAAATGGTGGGAACAGAAGTTATCAGTGTTGGTAGGGGCAAATCATGGAGGGCTTTGTAAGCCATACTGATCTATTTAGTCTTTATTCTAAAATTGACAGTGGTATTATAATTCATCAGGTTGTTAATAGTACCTAACATTGTTTTAGAAATTAAAACAATAACAATAAGAACAAAAATAATAAGAACATTGAAACTTTAATGGGAATTTCTGCTTTCTAAAAAATGATTGGATAAAAGTGGAAGAAGCACTTCATCGTTTACTATGTATCACACAATCAGAATTAAAATGGCAGTTAGTAGCAGGAGAGTATGACCAAGGTTTTAGGCTCTGATGCCTTCAAGATCTTAGATTCAAATTTAGCTGTTCAGTTCTACAGGATTCACTGGTAGTCAACAGGTCATCAGCATAGGAACCGCCAGCAGAAATGCCAAGAACTTGTTCAGGTCTCAGTGGCATGCTTTCTATTCTGTCATCTACAAATATTCAGATGGCTGCATGCTTTGAGTTTTCCTCCAAAGTTTTAATATACTCTGGGCTGCGGATTTGAGGTCCCATGCTGGCTAAGAGGAGAGGCCAATTCTTCATTTGGAAATGAAGAGTGCCTGAACTTGAAATGATCTCTATCTATAAATTGGATTCTTTAAGGCAATATAGATATTAGAACTGTATGTAGATATAATGCAGAATTTTGGGTTACTGTCAAATTAATGTTTACAAAATATCAGGAAAAAGTTATAAACATAATATGTGAATCTAATTCACTACATACCAAAGGAGAAAAACCTTAATTATTTTAGCTGCAGAAAAAGTGTTTGAAAATTGATTACCTATTCTTTATTTTTGAAATTTTTCTTTTTTTTGTGAGATTGAACCCAAGGCCTTGTGAATGTTAGGTAAGCGTGTAACTACTGGGCTACAATCCCAGCTATACCACCTATTCTTGATGAGAAGAAGTAAACTCCCTTACCTTGAAAGGCTTTACTAAAAAGAATAGGGAATACCATTTTTAATGAAGAAATATTAGAAATTTCATTTAAATTCAGTAACAATATAAGGGTGATCTCTTTCATTATACCTGTTTCAGAATATATTAGAAGTTGTAGCCAGTCAACACAAAGAGTCTATTGCAAACTATTAAAAAATCTTAGGAAAGGCTTGCAGTGAGATACAGGGTCAATATAAAAACTTGTTACCTTTCTATACATGAAATAACAAATACTGAGAAAATACAGGTTTTACCTATTTTGTAAAAGCATGTATTTTGATAGTAGCAAAAGTTAGAAGGTACTAGAATAAATATAACAAGGTATGTAAGTCAGCATGGGGAAAATTATAAAATTTTGATATTAAAGCATACCTATCTAAATGAAAATATATTAATTTAAAAGTAGGAAGACTCAGTAGCATGAAGCATCACTTTCTTCTGATCTATGGATTTAATCCAATTCCAATAAAAATTACAATAGATTTTTTTTCATGGAACTTGGTAAATTGATTCTAAAATTTGCAGTGAAGAACATAGGTCAGAAATTACCAAGATACTCCTAAAGAAGAAAAAATGGGGAAATGGGGTTCTTTTCTTTGAGAATGTAAATATTTACATAAATGTATGGTAATTATCATACAGTTTTATTGATATAAGGATGGAAATTTAACTGGAGAATCCAGTAGCGCTGAGACAGAAACATCTGCACAAGGTGCAGTGGTATATGTCTGAAGTTCGTGCCATAGGTCATTGAGAGAAAGAATGTTTTTCATTAAATGGTATTTGGGGAATTGGTTTGCCTCATGGGAAAGTACTAAATTAGATTCTTCCTACCAGACTCAAAACTCAAATCTAGGAAGGTTAAGAATTAAATACGAAGAGCAAAATTTTAAATCAACATGTTCAAATGTAGAAGAATCTCTTTCCAACTTTGATATAGGGGCAGATTTCTTAAGACCACGTGTTTTTAGACCAAGGTATTTTTAGTTAAGAGAAAAGATAGATCAGTGTCACTGTATTTGTGAACTTCTGTTCATCAAAGGAAATGATTTTTTAAAAGATGTTCCATAGCCTGAAAGATTATATCTTCACTGTATGTGGCTGACTAAGGGAATCTGAAATATAAAAAGAAACTCTACAATTCAAAAAGAACACGCAGATCACTAAGGAGGACACATGAATGCCAATAAACTTAAGGAATGAAGCTGACCCTTATCAATAATGAGGAATATTCATATTAAGACCACAATAAGAATTTTTTACTGTCAGTAAAATTCATTGCAGGTGAATGCAGGACTGACATACCCATTTTGGAAGTCAGCATGAATTATCTCCCATAATTCAGCATTGCTCTACCCTATGAGTCAGCAATCCCACTTCTAGGTATATATGCAAAAGAAATGCTTGCAAATGCCCTCTTGGACGTATATACAACCATGCTTCTTAAAAAATGTTTATATAGCAAAACACTGGAAGCCCATAAAGCAAAAGACCTAAAAGACTGCGAGCAAGAGAATAAATTAATAAATTGTGATATATTCAACCAGTGAATGTTAACAGCAACCATGAACATAAGCTTGCCTAGCAACATGAATAAACAGTTTAACACATGTTGAATTTTACAAAAACAGCATAGGTACAGTGGCTCATGCCTGTAATCCCAACTACTTAGAAGGCAGAGATAGGAAGATTATGGTTCATGGACAGCCTGGGCAAAAAGTTAGTGAGACCCTATCTCAAAAAATAAGTCAAGGGGATAGGGGAGGAGAAGGAGGGAGCGGGGAGAAGGGGGGAGAAATGACCCAAACATATGAATAAAAGATTTTAAAAAATAAGCCAAGCATAGTGGTTCATGTGTGTAATCCCAACTACTCGAGAGATGAAGATAGGAAGTTTATGGTCCAAGGCCAGCCTGGGCAAAAGCACAAGACCCCTTCTGAAAAATAACTGGAGCACAGAGAGCTAGGGCATGGCTCACGTGGTAAAGTGTGAGGCCCCTGAGTTCAAACCCCAGTACTTCCAGAAAAAAAAAGAAAAAGAAACAGAGTGCCAGAAGACTGCACATAGATTGACATTTTCTTAGCGTTCAAAATCAAGCAAGCTAAACCATTGTATTTGAAGTCTACATATATTTGTAATTAAAACTATACTTAAAGTGAATGGGATATTGAATATCAAATTCACAATGACTCCTCCTTGGGAAGGAAAAGACTCGGGGCTGGATAGGAGGGGAAACACCTGCATTGAGCTAGGTTCCAGAAAGGTTGTTATGTTCTTATACCCTGCTAACAAGACATACCATTAGGCATATCACATAATCTAAGAAGATACTGATGAAGATTCAGCATATCTTTTATAGATACTGCTATAGCTAGAGTTGCAATACAGCATTTTCAGTTATCATTCTATTAATCAAAAGATTTGCACATCTTAAACCATTATGTAATCATGCAGATATACTGAGTAATTCATTCAGTACATATTTATCTGAAATATTTAGATTTTAAACATCTAAAATAGATCATGCATTGTTTTAGAAGTAGAGGATCAAAAATAAGGCACACACACACACACCCACCCACCCTCTGCTTTGAAGATCTTCACATCTTTGCAATAAAAAAATTTGATTGAAAGTTATTACAGTGTTTAAATATCTTATTACAGATTATTCTGTTATAGCTGTTAAAATTAAACATTAAATATAAATTCAAATAATAAAATTCTTCTCCCTAATATGAAAATTCCTCACTCCTTTCAGTAGCCTGTGATTAAAAAAAGAGAAACTTCTTATTAGGGTTTATGAAACTTATAATAATGAAGTCTGTGATAAATATGAGAAAGTTAGCCAGAAAATATTGTTATTAATTTAAAAATATCTAAGATCTTTTCTTGATCAGAAGCTTCAAGACAAAACACATAGGAAACAATTGTTACTCTTTCAATTGAAAAAAAATGATTTTTTTTGCAGAATAAATTCTTTTCTTTTTTATTGTATATCAGTTGTACAAAATAATGGGTGCAGTGTGAACGTTTTAAGTCATGAAGATTCCTAAACAAAACCTATCTTTTAGTTTTCCATTTGCCTCTTTAGAAAAATAACTCCTTTCTTTTAGTGGCTAATGTTTAATATAAGCCTAACAGATGGTGTGCCTAGCAGCAAGTAAGTTATAATTTTAATGGAAAATTTGAAAACATTTAGAGAAAGAAGTTCTTTTAAATTTGTGAAATAGTGTGCCTTTCACAAAATATACCTTATAAATATTGTTAAATTTTGGAATTATTTATTCCAAAATTTTGATTCTTACTGTTCTAGCTCTCACTGTTTCTAGTGATTATAGTTGATTTCTTTTGAAGCTCACCCGTGATGTGTAAAAATCTTTGAGACTTTTTTTTAAGTGCACATACATTTCTTGTTAGTTGGAGCAAGTTTTACTTCACTCTTGTCCCAGTGTCGCTACAGCTGCAGTCACTGCTACAGGCTAGTGCTGGGATTCTGAGACTGTGACACAATGATTTGTTTTTTGTAAGGTACTATGGAGTGTGTCTGAGTGATTTAATATCTGTTATAAAGTGAATTACTCCTTGAGTTTTGAGGCCGTATTCTGTTGTTGGCCTGGCTTTGTTTGCTGTTTGTAGCTGCTCTTTCTGAGTTGACTTTAATGTAAGTGCCTTGACTTTGTAAGTGTTTACTAACATTTGACTCTATGAAGGTATTGACTTGTGTTTTTGAGCATGTGCCATAGTGTTCTGGACTATGACCCTTACTGCTTTACTCTTGGTGTGAGACAGCCCCTCTAAAAGGTTATTCGTGACCTTTTTTCATTGATTGTTGTGCAGCTTAGTACTAAATGCTAGCAACAGAAATGTGCTTTTTAAAATGTATTTTCTGTTATAATCCTTAAACTCCATTTAAAAGCACAATAATATATTGTTTAGGGTTTTTTAAAAAAAAATCTTAGACCATCACTAGCAAGTAATTCATAATGGTCAGTCTATCCACTAATGATACATCTACATTGCTACCTGTAGTTAATGGCCTTGTATGAAAGGGTCTTTCTGTAGTTAACTTTTTGTTTTAGCATGTTAAATAGAACTGCTTCATTATTTGTTTTCCTGCAATATTGCTAAAAGCTCTGAGTTCTTATTGCTTTGAGAAGGAATATTTTGTGAATATATCAACGAATAATGAAAATGGAAAGAACAACAGTTTGTTTTCATTTTTGTTCATAATGAATTTTGTTTTACAAATAACATTTCACTTCTTTAATATGATTTTCCTTTTCTAATAGATAACTGCCTACAATAGGCGTACATTTGAGACTGCAAGGCATAATTTGATAATTAATATAATGTCAGCAGAAGGTAGGTATGGAAAGTATGTTGATAATTTATTTACAAGATGTATTCCATTATGTTTGATAATTATGAATTACAAAGTACTACATATCTAGTATAACTGATGAAATAGTCAAATGCAGAAAACTAAGCTATGCCTAATTTGTTATAAAATCTCATGGTGTGTCATAGTTAAGAACTAAGAATAGGGCTGAGCAGTGGATCACTTATTCCTCTAAGTCTTGGTTTCATTATCTGTAAAATGGCACTAAGAATAGCATTTCTCTTATAAGTTTGGAGTAAGGGGGTCTATAAATTAAGTCTTAAAATATGCTTATCACAGATTACAGAATGCACAATCAGTAGTTATTAGCTAGTTTTGTTATTTTATTTTAACGTTTACCATAGGTAGTAGTTTGATTGTATGTGAAGATAAACTGTTTCCTTGCTAAATTAGCTAGTCATGTGTCAGTAACTGCTAGTATCCATCAGTAAGGTAGAATAACATATGCTCAAATTATAAGTGATTTCCTAACGGTTTTGAAGATTAGGGATAAAGGAAATATTATGAAAATTATAGCATCAAATATTTCTGTCTTAGTTTATCAGTTGACCAGGAAAAATACATACCACTAGAACTTTGTGGTTAAGATTAGTAAGTCATGAGATAATTCTCCCTATTCTAGATATCACTTATAAAGGTGACAGGAGACAAATTGGTACAGTTTTTCCCTCCAAAAACAGTAAAACAAATGTGTATTCTTAATACTGGAATTCTTGTCTTTGTTTATTAGTATAGTTAACAACATGCAAGCAAACACTAAACATTTTACTAGAACCTACTAGTTTTAAATTAATGATAATTTGGTAAAAGCTGAGTTAAAAATTGCTTTCAGACTATCGAAAAGAAAGTGATTTCTGTAAAATATTAATATATATATACATGGAGAGATTTCTTAAAGACTTGCATCTTTTTTACTATCTTATTATTTTTGTACTGGGGTACATCGTGTACCAGGGGTACAATATTTCATAGTTGAATTCACCCCTTCCATTATTTTCCTTTACCCCCCCACCCAAGATTTGCATCTTCTTAAGTGATTTTTTTTTCTAGGTGTTTTAGCAGCATTAATTTCAGACAACAAATGTGTGAGTTTAAAATTTACGACCTGAGGCACGGATCAAGTGGCAGAGTGCCTGCCTAACAAGCTTGAAGCCCTGAGTTAAAACCCCAGTACCACCAAAAAACAAAACAAACACTTGGGAAATTTACAATGACCTTCATCTATGAAAAGCGGGTCTAAGGGCCAGTTCTATAGACCTGCACAGCAGCCCCTGTCCATGTTCCCACTCTCCCAGGGCCTTTAATGGTGTTCATGTTTGGATCGGCGAGACTTTTGGTCTTGACCGTAGTTGAGATGGGATGAGTGAAGCCAGTCTACACTGGTCCTGTAGACGTGGAATGCCCTCAGTGAGCAGAATAACTGTAAAGTTTCTTCTTCTCTGGGAATTCACCACTAGAGTTACACAACTATACTGCAGTGAGCTTGGGCCATTGGACCTCACTGCTATACTTCAGAAGAATTTGAGGCTGTGTCAGATATGGGAGGCCCTTTAAGACGAAAGACAGCCTAGTTTACAGTTTGACCTTCTTCTTTCTCTAGTCTGGTCTCCGTACTATAGAAGCAGAGCACACAGGGCCTCTTAAAAGGTGGTGTTATTGATGTGTGGGACTCATAAGCAAGCAGATACTATTGGAAGACTGCAAGACAACTGAAGGGTCAAGAGTTGACATGAAGGACCATTTATCTAAATCTGAATTTTGAAGCTGTACTGGTGAGGGAGGAGGTGTAGAGGGGTTCTGGGAGCTCCCACTTTGACATTAGGCAGAGCTGCTTGACTGACTTTTCTGTAGGGTTCAGTGACCTAAAACTGTTTGAAAACCACTGAACTAAAAAGGTCACACATTTGTCTTCTGGTCTAGACAGAATATATATGCACATGAGGATGAACATCTGAGTATGGCCCTCTCTCATGTTGTTTGTTCCAGATAAGGTTTAGGCAAAGAAATAACAAACTTGTAAATCAGAGTAATCATGCTCAGTCCGAATCCCAGCCCAGCTGTCTCCTGCTCTGAGCAACCTAATGGGAAATTAGTGGTGTAGACTCACACAGCATGGGCTCAAGGAGAGCACAGAAAGTGATTCTCTAAATTGGGTTTAACGCCTCAGAGGCCTGCCACCAATCTGTTGGCCTACTGTTCCCTTGGCCTCTGTGATTTCTAAAAATAGCAGGCATGGGATTTCCCCAGAGTTAGAAAGCTGCCCTGACTCATCCCACAGAGGCCTGGCAGCAACTCTTGGCCCAGTCGACAGCAGGCAGCTGCACTGCCCAGCGTCTCTGAGGGGTGTAGTGGTAGCTCCAGGCTTCCCAGCAGGTCTCAGAAAGGGAACCATGAAGCAGGGTCACATGCATCAGGAAAAGCCACATAACAGTTCTCCAAAAAGCAGCACTCATGATAAAGAAAAAAGCTTTACATGGTCTTTTTGAAAACTGAATGTAAAAATATCAAATTAAATGAATAATTATAGACTTCTGGCATATTCAAGAATTATATTCAGTGTTATTTATAAATACTATATTCTTTATCACCAAGAATCTCTTCTTCATAATTCACTCTGCATGACTGTTTCTAAGGGTGGGGGAAAATGTCACATGATTAAGTCACAATTTATCTGTGTAAGAGAAGAAATATATTTGTATAAACAGGAAATTTATCTGCATGGAAGAGAATAAATAGATCGTAATTTAGAAGATTCTAGATAGGCTATGCATTAAATAAATCTAACAATATCATAAGCAGAACAAATGACAGTGTAGGAGATAAGTAAAGAGCTTTCTGTGACTAGGGCAGTGGAGAACTAAATCCTTAAGAAGAGATGACCACACTCTGGACAACTCTTGAAAACTCATTTGGACTTCTCTAATATCGAGTGTCTCTTAACATTAAAGGGGCTGCATAAAAAAATGAAGTCATCAAGATTGCAGGTGCTTGTTACATAGTTTTATTTTTCCACTATTAAACAGGGATTTAATTTTACAGATTCATGTATTTTATTGAAATACATTTGAGGACATGCATAGTATAATTACTCTTACAGACTTTAAATCTTTGTAGAGTCCAAAAGTATTTTCTTGTCCTTTTAAAGTAAGAATTCAGATAACCAACCTTTTCGTATTATTATAAGAGCTAAGGTTTTAATATTTTATAAATTCTTACTATGTGTTTGGAGTGTGTTGAGCACTTTAGAAACATAGTTTTCTTTAGCTTACATAAAATTTATGAAGTAAATTCAAAGTACTGTAAGTCCCCAGACCTCTACAGATAAGCTTTGCCAGGCGCCGGTGGCTCATGCCTATAATCCTAGCTGATCAGGAGGATTGCAGTTCAAAGCCAGCCTGGCAAAACAGCTCAAGAGACCCTATCTTGAAAAAACCCATCACAAAAAAAAGGACTGGTAGAGTGGTTCAAAGTGTAGGCCCTGAGTTCAAACCCAGTACCACAGGAAAAAAAGATAAGCTTCTGCTGAAAGTGTAGAGACAAATACAAAAACCTACTTACTTTCCTGTTGTGAGAATTCAATGTTATAATTCTCCTACATCTCTCAGCTTGGCCTGCCTCATAGTAACTATTTTTAATTCACTTGTATTTTAGAAATAGTATTACATACAAAGATAATTTTTATCTTAATAGAAAAACCAGAGTAGAGGAAATAGGGTTAGTATTTCAAGAGTAATACTTCAAAAACTGAAATATTTTTATATTAGAGTTTCTTATGTTGAGAGTCTGAATTTGACATTGGGAGTTGTTGAAGCATTAATTTTGAAATGTTTAAAGAAGAATTTGGTGAAACTGGAGAGGAAAAACTAAATCTTTAACAATGCAAGATGGGGAATTGTATGAGAATTTCATAACTTTTCTAGAATAGTTACAGAATAATCAAAATAGAGAGTTGCTCTGAGTTTTAGGATTCTTACTGAGAATATAATCAGTATTTATTGTAAGAAAACATAATGATGTTAGCATGCTCCAAACAACGTCAGTAATAATATAAATTAAAAATGCAGATTTAGTTTTTCTTTTTGGGAGGACCAAATCCTGTAATTATAAAATTGCCTGATTGCACCTTGGATTTTATTATACTGTAGACCAAGATCTGTTTTTAGATACATCACCTGCTATCTGTTATACAGAAAACCTTTGACGTTGGTACAGTTGTTACTAGTATCTGTGGGGGGACTGTTTCCTGTACTCCGGTGAATACCAAAATCTGAGGATGCTCAAATCTCTTAGAGAAAATGGCCCAGAATCTGCATAGAACTTACACACATCCTCCTATGTACTTAAGTCATCTCAGGATTACTAATAACACCTAATGCAATGCAAATACTACGTAAATAGTTGTTATAGTTTGTGTAGGGAAAGAGGGTAAGACAAAAAGTTTGTACATGTTCATACAGACAGTTTTTCTCAAAGAATATTTTGTTTAATTCAAGGAAGTGAAACCTGTGGATATGGAGGTTGGACTGTTTTCATATGCTCCTTTCAGCCAGGATTATATAAATCTCAGCAAATCTCAAATTGTGCTTTTGTTTCCCTTTTAAAAGACTACTTTATTGAAGATATGAATACCCCCCT